TGGACTTATTCGACTGAACTTCAGGCTGTGTTTATACACAGAGTAAATACAAGACATGAATGGAAACAAATTAAAAACATAATTAGTAAATTAGCTATAATATGTAAATCATTATATAAATATATATATATATAAATCATTGTTTTTCAGTGTTGGTAACAGGTGCAGGCACTTGAAAAAATATTGTTTTTTTTTCATTCTTGTAAAATAAATAATTACTTGTTTATTGTACTATAACTTTGTTATCCTGTACAGAAGACATTTTTCAGTTATCTCTGCTTCTAGCGACATGCTGTTTCCATAGAGGTACAGGATTTTAAATTGCAGCGTAGAAATTAGCCCACGGTGAAGAAAATGTGACAGCAGCAAAAAATGACAAGAAATAGCTTCAGGACTTTATAGGATTTATCAAGAATAGGAAAAGCCCAGAATATCAACAGACTTATTCTTTAAAAATAAACCAGGAACAGAGTTATACTGAGTGACATACTGCTTGACTGCCACGAACACGGTGACTCTTGTTATTTTGGGTCCCTCCCACATAATACTATTCTACTGCTGTAAATACAAGAGAAAATATATTTCTCTGCAGCTCAAAATAGTCAAGTAGACTAAAACTACAACAGAAAAGAGTTAGTCTCTTGTTAGATAATAACTATGCTGTATATCAGTGACCAGTTTTTAAAATTTATATCTTCAGTAGAAACCACTGTGCTGGTAGTGCCACAGCCATGGCATGGCAGTGAAACTGGGAGAGCATTGAGTAAAGGACAAACACCCTATTGATTTTGAGGTTTTCATGGGATTTGTAGTAAAACACGGAACTGCATCAGCCTCATCCTTTAACATGCGCATACACACAGACACAGTTTTCTTTCTAAGACGTGAAATGCCACGTTGGATGAGCTCTGGCACCGTCTATTTGTCCTACACATCACAGGAGCTGCTCTGCGCTGGCCAGCCAACAGAGATGTCATTTCTCTTGTGTGTGTGTGTGTGTGTGTGTGTGTGTGTGTGTGTGTGCGCGTATGCATATGTGTGCACCGTCCCTCCTTCCCTTTGAAAAATATCCACCAAATGTTAAAGCTGACATGGGGTGACAGTTGCACAGTAGTGCTGAGGGGAGTAATTCAATAATGGATGCCGTCCCTAATGTGGGAGTCTGAATGGATAAAATATACATGGGAGAGAGGAGACGGGGAGGGGGTAGAGGGGAGGACGGTGATATCACTGGAACACAGTGGGGGGTCACAGACGAGGATGATATCATACAGGAGACACGGTGGGTTTGTGTTTCTGCATGTCACACGGGGGAGTTCCAGCTTTTTCTGAAGTGTATTTAAGCTCTCTGTATTTGGCGACCGGGCTGTCCTTCGATTCACTTTTTTCCTCATTCTACTAGAAACAAGCAGACATTACACCCAAAGCACATGACTCCAGCTCCACCCACAGGAGGAGAAATCCGACAGCAGCACCGAGCAGGAGGGAGGGAGGAAGGAAGGAGGGGGGAGTGCAGAGAGACTGTGAGGCTCCAGCTCCAGTGTCTCCTTCATGTCGTGCTGTCATCTGCCACCCTGCCACAGAGGTCAGAGGTCACAGAGGAAACACATCCAATGACAGCACACGCACTTGAGCGCGCACAAAAAGTACATCGCGGTAAATTGTAATGGATACCAACGCATGTGCACATTAAATGCCCCAGGCATGTATAAGCTGGCATCATCAGACTACTGTTGGCAGACACTAACTCTGCCCAGAGTAAGACGTACACAGAATACCAAGTAGACAAGTACACACATTTAAAAAAAAAAAAAAATGAAGTTAAATAAAAACCCAGCTCCATACAGAGAATTAACACCATACCTCATATTTACAACACCCTGAACAGGCAGCAACCCCCAGAGCAACAATAACGGTTTACATGATAAACAGACATGTGACACAGTCAGGCGATTTGTATTCTGCTCACACAGGACCAAAGTGGGCAAAGCTGAAAATAGGGAGAGGAAAAAAAATAAAAGTACATCTCTGGACTACAGCAGCTTGCAGAAAAATTTCAAGGATTTCAAAACTTGAAGTGATGACGGCAAAGTGTAAGCATTTTGTGGAAAATTGCACCATCTTCAGAGAGCATTTTGAGTGGACGTGGGACCCTTTTTTTAAAAAAAAAAATTCTGCCTGATCTGTGAAGTGCTTTTTAGCAGCAGGAGCAGCAGTAAAAGAGAGGCGGTCAAAAACTGAGGAGTAATTAAGACGGAGCATAAAAAGACTGATGCCTCAAGCTAAAGTCGTGTCACTGCTTGTGTGAAACTGGTTCAGAAAAGGGAAAATGTACATTTGTTTCATGCTTGATTGAAAGACAAGAGTGAAAGGCTGATTGAACACTGCATACTTGATTGTGTAGAAGTGCATTTCAGCACCATGGACAGAGACTCACACACAGTTTATGGTATTTTTCACCTTCTATAATTACTAAATGTGAGCGTTTTCACATGCATGTAGCACAAATTAAGATATTTTAATCAGTTTTGTCAAACCTCTGAGGATCACTCAATCCCACTGACTGCTAAATGGCACAGAAAACAACCGCAGAGGCTTCTAATTCAGTCACTAAATGTTATCTACCTCTGTTGAGAAGCCAATTGTGTCTCTCTTTCTCTCTGAGAAGTCAGTCATGTTTTGTGCCTTACAATACTAAAAATCTGGCTTTAATGTTGACACTTTAAAGGAATTCCTATTAATCGTTTTATTTAAGGGCACAATTAGAGCTGAGATGAAGCACTGGAGGGTCTATTCCTTACACTTTGTAGTTAGTTAGTTTCCATGATGCCATTCACAAAACAACACATTAAACAATGAGTAATAATGAGAGGTTAGTGAGGTCACTCTGCACCACAGATTGATTGACTCAAAGCAGCTAGCTATTATCAGTTCCTGTGTGGTTATGCAGAGAACTAGATTTATTTGAAAATGAGGATAACTTACAAAAAAGACGACTCAGAGTTATCTTTTTCTATTATTTCTAAAAAGATTTCTGAATGTTTTTCCACAATGATCATTGGACATAATTAGGAAAGTATCCTAACTCTGTGTCATGTTTGCTTTTTACCTGCCTTCTGCTGTAAGTAGCGAGTCAAGTTAATAAACATCAGCAATAGTTATTTTCTAAAGCTAAATTTTCTCACTGCGTTTAATATTAATGTTGACATATAAACTTTAATTAAATATGCGTAGCTCAAGTATCTGCTACTCAAGATAATCTTCTCTCCTCCCCTTCATGCTCATTAAGATGCTTTTCACCGTCTGATGCTTTAATAATAAAAAGGGCATAGAACAAGTCAGTCGGTTGCTACGTTCACTTGACATTTGATGGCTTAAGTTGTGTCACCATCATGTACTTCCCAGTTCTCCTTTCTAACCCCCCCCCCCCCCATATCCTATATATATGGTACACACACACACACACACACACACACACACACACAGGGCATTGAGGTCACAGTACGGATCTCCTGCTGCTGAACTTTCATTGCACAGCTCACTGATGCAACAGATTGGTCCAGCAGAGAAGCTCTATGAGTGAAAGGGCTCATGCAAAGCTGAAACATGCTGCAGTCCGAAGACAAGGCTCCCACTGCACAATAACACCAGTTGTCCATGTAATTTCTAAAATAAATAAATAAATAAATAAATGAAATAACGGGAATGTTTCCAAGTCTTTAACCCTCTGAACCCTACAAGCCACAGGCGGGTTTAAAAGGCATATTCTTTTTTTTTTTTTAAACACCAAATGACACCATTTATCATGGCTGGATGCTGTGAAAACAGATGAATTGCCAGATTTCCAATTTTGCGACAGCACTTGAGCTATGTCAAGAAAAAAAAAACCAAATCTAACCTTAAAATGATGATATTTACTCAAAATCAGTTTATTCTACATGGCTCATTTTAATATTCAACAAAAATAAACTCCCTTCTTTTATAGTCATGAAGCCATTTGTGAGTCACTGCAACCCACAGTCACACACAAAAGGAGACAAGGATGGAAACCAAAAGCAAATAGTAAAATATCTATAGTATGTAAATTCACAATTCTTTTTTTTGATGACAAATGTGGGCACTTGGAAAAATGTTGTTTATTTGATTCCAAGTTTTCTTCCTTTTTTGTAGAATAAATATATATATATTTAAATCAATGGTAGTTTTCTTCTTTTTGATGATTTATGGGACTGTAACTATGTTACACTGCACAAAAGATATTTTTTGATTCTTTAAACTGCAGGTAAAAATGAGCTACAGTGAGGAAAAATTTTACAGGAGGAAAAAACACTGTGAAAAAAGTCCAGAGGGATAAATAATAATATTCTTCTTTGTATGTCTATGTTCTTCCATTTATAATAATTAGAATAATAACCCAATTGCATACGAGCCATACAATACAAAAAACAACAACAACAACAACAACAACAACAACAAGTGCAAAAATGCAAAAATTATTTTCACTTAATAGAATATTTTGTCATAGCACACAACATTGTCCAATTATTTTCTCTTTCAGGACTCAAACACAATTCTAGAAATTCCACCAGAAGTGGCACACAAAAATTTACACAACATCACACAGCACAAACAAGCTCACCTGAAACTATTTTATGGTGGTCAGATACACACACAATACACGCTATTTCTAAAACACATATTTGCAGAAAAACATCCATCCATCCATTAGCTCTACACACACAGGTCCTGCAACCTGGACAGCTTACATTCACATCTACAACCAATTTAGAATAATCATTTCCATGCAAGTGTTTGGACTGTGGGAGGAGATAACCAAGGCAGGCACAGGGAAAATATGCAAACTCTACAGAGAAAAGCCCCAGCCAGCAGGTCTAACCCCAGATTCATGTTGCTGTTAGGTGACAAAGCTAACTACTGCACTTCAATGCCGCCCCACAGAAATACATACAGAGGAAAATTGTGTGTAAAGTTGAACCTACCTGCTACTTTTTCGGGGCAGAGGTAGATCCTTCTGGTGAGAAAGAGAAAGCAATGAGAAAAGAGGGAAAGCAAAGAGGAGGGGGAGAGAAGACAGATGAGATGGGTTAGATCATTTTTAAACATATTTATTTTTACAAGCAGAAAACTGTAGAAAAGGTTATAATTTCCTGCAAGTGTGGTGATGAGATATGAATTAGCAGAACAAACCCTGTAATCTGTCATTATGAGCGCCGTAAACAGCAGTTCAAGATAGATTAAAGTCATCATACTGATATAATTACTTAATGAAGAAATGCAGTTAATGAATCTTCTTTCATAGTTAATTTGAAATGCATTCTCTATGTTTATTATACATTTCACAGCTGCCGTTTTTATTATTTCCTATAAAGTACTTTTTATCATATAAACAGGGTGCGTATATATCACATCATTGAAGGTCAAACCTTAGATGCGTACTCTCTATATATAGGGCATTATTATATTTGTTGAGTTATAGAAGAAATGTATTTAACAAGATGTATTTGTGGCCCTTTCTCACAGACGATTACTGTGTTTTTTCTTTAAAATATTGCTTTCTGAGGGACTTTTATGGGTCTGAAGAGGTAAAAGTGTGCAGTATGTATGTTTATTTATGATTACTTGTATTAATAAGTATAAGAATAAGAAAACAAATGAAAAACAGCTGCTGTTGTGTGTTTATGAGTACTAAAAGTAGAATATTTTATTACTGACACAGCAAGAAAACATTTCACTGATCCACCCTAATGTGTTGGATAAGTACAACGGTTAAAACCCTGTTTTCCTGGGTGCAACCAAAACCAAGTTGCTTGTAACTTGATAAAAGTGAATCAGTGATGAATCTTTCTCATGTATGAACTGTACATTAATAATGGCTGGATTTCCACATGATCCATGATGTTGAAGATACAGAAAGGTTTCAAGGAAAAAATAGCACATTTTCAATATTTTAGAGAAATCTTGTTATTACGGGAACTCGTGTCTTATTAAGTGGCTGAAGCTCCATCTGGCTCTTTTGTAGTTTTGCTAAAATGCAAATCTTTGGTTGACCCCTGGACTGAAATTCCTGGTATTTCTTAAGCTATCAGTCATTAACAAAATAGTTAATAGACATCAATTGTATTGTCATGCTTCCGTGCTGACAGTGGAGGACAGAAGCATCATGTTTTCAGCTCGTTTATCCATCAATTAATCCCATTCTTGCTCACAGGGTATGTCAGGAACACCTTGAGGGGATTTCTTCAAATGTAGCACAAATGTTTACTTGGACTTCATAATACACTGATTATATTTTGGTGGCCAAAGGTGACAGTGACCTCACATAAGTCCAAAACTCATACACTAATGAGGACAATATTTAACATGAATGTCAAATAGGATGAAATGATGAAGTGATGACTTTTTACGTCAAAAAGGTCCAACGTTGACTTCATAATGTTCTGCCAAAACACTCTTATTCCATAACTCAAGACAAGAAGGAGAGACTGTGACCATGTTTTACATTTGGTCGGGTACTGATTTGGTGACACTAATCTTAAGTGTCCACCTTGAAACTGTAATGATTGTACAGATCTTCTGTGCTGCCGGGTAAAGATGGATGTGAAGAATCCATGTCTTTGAGATTGTAGCTTCATTGCAGCAGTATCCACAATGTGATGCTGTGTGAAGCTCGGTACAACAGAAGAACCTACAAGGACTTTGACTCTGTCCTTTGTTTCTCTCAGTGAACTTACATACTTCAAAGCCTTCACTATACATATATTCTATAAATCTGGACAAATGTGGATGTAAACTGCAACTTGGCTGCTTGTTAGAGGCATAAAACTGCAAGGTGGTGAGTCAAGTTTTTCGAATGCTTTAACTAAAAAGCATACAGAGCAGTGACTCAAGGTATGTACGTTTTTCAATACCAGCATGTTGGATGCAAATTATAGAGGGCAGTGCTGTAATTTCCTTTTTTTTTGTCATGGTGATGCTATTTTCTTTGTGATTCTCTGTTCATGTTGAGTGTAAGTGAAAAGCAATTTGAACACTGATCCCTCCTAAGTGCTCAGAGACTTCGGAACTTCAGGAATCACCAGGTTGAGTGGAGCCAAAGTCAATTTAAAAAACTGTTGCTGCTATATTTATGACATTGGGACATAACAGCAAGGACTCTGATGTGATTAGGATCAACTAGGATGAAGCTGTGTGCTGCTTGTTGCCCATCTATTCCCAATTTAAAACCATTTAACATCCAGTTTAGGTAAGATCAGGTTACCGTCAGTATCTATTGTCAGCCTGTGCTGCGCTGCTTACCGAGCTATTTTCTACCGCTCACTGGCTGGGCTAAAAAGACTTTATGTTTTGGGTTGGTTTTTTTCCTCTCAGGACAAGCGTAATGACACAGAGCCATGCCAGTGAATAGAAATGAATCCACCAACGACACCAGGGTCACAAAACATGAGAGGAAAATAAGGCAAAGATAAGACTTCAACTAGTTTTCTAGAGATGGCTTCCATCCTGAAATTTCTCTCTGTCTCTCTTGTTGTCTTTGTTAAGTAAACAGGAACTACAGAAGCCAAACTGATGAGACATGACTTGACAGCTGGAGCTCTTGACTCCAAACAGTCTCAAAACAACCTGGATACCCAAAGTCACCCACTTCCAGCACCGTGAGCTAATAATACTGGCCCTTAATATAAAACTGCAATACAATATTCAGATCAGCATCGTATGTTGTGAGGTAGGAATGTTTGTGTTAGTAGTACTAAGAAATAAAAATAGTTGTTTTGTTTAAAACCTGGATTAGCAATGAATATTCTCGCAACCCCAAACTGAATTGTACCTAGAAGAGAAGTTTGGCATCACTTGCTTTTCCAAATAAACAATAAATAATTTATTTTTTTTTAAAGAGTTGTCACATGGATCTTGACCAATAAACTGATCAGAGAGTGACCACCTGAAGTCAGCAGATGCTTTGTATCTTTCCTGGTGATGAAGATCTGCTTCCTTAGAATGAAAGTTGCTTTCTGATTCAGGTTCTTAATTTTTTTCCATACTTGTCTCCTGTCTCCTCTGGTTCAACACAGACTGCAGTTCAGCCCAGTTCAATCAAAAAGTTCCCAAAGTGACTGTTTGCCACAGTCGAGTCACTCATGACTGCAAGGTTGTGCTAATGAGTACATTTTCTACAAAATCGTATTAATGCAAATGCTATGTTTTTTGTGGGTTTTTTTTGGCAATTTGTTACATGAGACATACAGAATATACCAATTTTGATGAACTATCAGGACTTTGAGCTTAGATTTGGTTAGGTTTTCCTACTGAACTGCACCTCACAGGATTTGTTTGTTGGCTGTCAAAAAGTTCAATACCTAAAGATTACTTTTGTTTTTACAACGTCTGGCTCTGATGAATGCTGTCATTTGGGGTATTTTTTAAGAAGACAACATGCCTTTCAAACCCACCAGAAGGTCTGGAAGTTCAGTTCAGTTAAATTTCTTTTTTCCTCTCCTTCTTTCTATACTGCTGTAAAGTGCTCAAATTAAAGCTGTGACCTTGAAGTAGTATCCACTATTTTATTTGAGACTAAATGTGTTGAGGCACAAATACACAACTGTGTAAATACTTACGGTTTGTCTGTCGATGTTTACTCATCACACACATTCTGGTGTTTAAAAAACCGACTGTGATACGTCATAACCTGTCTTTTTAAAAGGCATCTTGAAGAACTAATCATAAATATTCCTCTTGCAGTATAAGTTCAGAGCTACTCTGAATAAACTGGCATATTAGATTAACATTCAGCATTATGAGAAATATGCTCAATCTGAGGCCTGTTTGTGTGTTTAGTATGTAGGGCTGTTCTGCCCTGTTTTCAGTCTTCATGCTGAAATATGCTAATCTTCTTTGGGCTGCAGCTTCATATTGACCATAAAGACAAGAGAGTGGTGTCTTTTTCTTGAAGTTTTTGGTAAAAAAGTGAACAATTTGACATTTGACAAAACATCAAACTGCTGCTTGCAACTAATACAGAAAATTAAAATACATCTATAGTGGCGTAGAAGCATTTTGAGAGAGCAGTTGTTAGTTTTTTTGTTTTTTTTTTCAATGGGAGTGACATCATCTATCAAAGTGAGCTCTTTCTGGGATGCTAATACACTACATCATCAAGAGGAAGTGAGCTCGGCCAGGGTGACTCAGACAGAGACCCACAGGAGTCTTATATATATGTGTGTGTGTGTGTGTGTGTGTGTGTGTGTGTGTGTGTGTGTGTGTGTGTGTGTGTGCGGATGGATGGATATGGGGTGATAAGGGTGTCTAATGGATAAAACTCGAACACCTGCTCCCTCTCACTGTCTGTCCAATGGACGGCTACTGTACCTACTGTTGCCATGTTACGGGTCACTCCAGCATTTCTTTGAACAATTGTCGCCTTGATTCAAGTGACCACGACAACCTGTTAAAATTCTCGGTAAAATCCTTTTGCTTGCAACAAAAATCTTGCTGTGAGGTACAGACGAAAAATCACCAGGAGTAAAGGTATGAGGCAAAAAGCGGTATTCAATATTCTGTCTAATATTCGGTCTAATAAAAGAAGATCAGTTCCTGCCTTTTGTTAGCGTGTTACAGATTTCATGCCACAAAGGACGCATGGGGATCCACGACATGGATCAAGGTAAAAAAAAAAAAAAAAAAAAAACATCTGAAACACTGCTGCACTAATTATGCACTGCACTGATTAATTGATTAATCAATTAGTAAACTGGCAGAATTCATCAGCAACTATGTTGACAATGAATTATTCAAATGAATTAGGCACCACCAGAATACACTCCTTCCTTGTCCCTGTCCCACGTTACACACTGTAAACCGAATTGTTCAGACAGGTTCTAGGAAACTCTGATGGGCATTTTTTTTACTTCTCTCTGGTGTTTTCTAGACCAGACAAACAGTCAACCGAGAAAATAATCTGCAAATTAATCTATGATGGAAATAATTAACAGTCGCAGTAACAATCTTCTGGAA